AACAACCAGTGGGTGAAACAAGTCCTCTGGAGAATGACCTGCATTCACAAGGACTGAGTAAAAATTTTCACTGAGAGCTTTGTAAGACTTTGCAGTTACAAAAGGCACACCAGCTGTTATCCCTCTCCTCTGTTCCTCACATGAGGCTTTTCTGAGGGAGACTGGAATGACTTGAGAATTAAAGTCATCTCCAAAAACAACAGCTTTTGAGAAGACATGAATTTAAACCATTTTTCTAGACAGTAAATATTGTATAAATCCGTAGGATACACCAACAAAAATTTGACACTGAAAAAAATGCGCTTTTCACCGAGAAACTTTGTGACAGACTGAGTTTAGAAAGTGCCCACTCCCAGTGTATCTCCATTATTTTCAGCTCAGTACAGATGTTTCAGTAGATGCCACCAGTGAAGCTGACAGGAGCAGGCACCAATGCCACCTTCTCCTCCCCATGACACTTCGAGGTCATGTTGTTAGATTCCATCACCACCACCTGTAATCTCATCTTGAAGTGACACCAGTGACCTGCTGGAAGGTTTGAGGGTGGCATTAGAGCACTTCAGTGTGTGATGGAAGAAATCTGCTGCAACGTGCTAACAAAGACAGGCTCTGCCCTAGTCATGTGCAGTCAGAGGGGAACTGTCAGTACACAGCTCCTCACAGCATCAGTGCTATTCCTCACTGAAAATAAAGGAAAACATATGATAAACTGCATTGTTATGAACACAGTTACATGTTACTGCAACTAGTTCCATGCTTTTTGGAATAAAAATTCTCCATTTCAACATCCCAGAAGCTCATCCAATCTGCTGCAGCACTAAATCCTTACAGATCCCTTTCCATTCCTTTCCAACATAACGTGGCTCTGCCATCCTACACAGAATGTCAAGAACATTCAATCCAGAGTCTTCTCCCATCAGTTTTTAATGACACTTTCTCCAAAATCCCTTTGCCACTTCTGAGCACTTACCCTGTTGCAGAAATCATTTTATTTAATGTCACATCCATGGAGGGTCCACTGGCCCAAACCTTCTCTCAGTTGTCCACAGCAGTAACAGGAGACAGGCAATGACTTATTGCTGTGCATTTATATATAAACTAACGAGACCTCCAAGGCAAAGGGAAATTAGTGACTCATGAAATTACCTTTTCTTAACAGTGCTCACTGAATTCTAGCAACATGAGTCTTACTTTTAGAAGGAAGTGCCACTGAAAGGTGAATTCCCTACAATACTGTATCTTATCACAAAGTTTATTCAAGTTTTGAAATCATTTTTATTAAAGGACGACATTCCAACTTTTCATGTTTTTAATTATTAAAATATATTACATTATATTATAGATTTCAAAAAAAGATATGTTTGACAAAACATTACTCATAACTTTGGGACCACTTTGCTTTTTGTAAACATCCACCTCACCATTCAATGATGAGCTGCAAGAAGTCAGAGGGGGATAATTCTTTAGTACACCTCTTTCTCAGGCTGTGTATCTTTAGGGACAGAAGAGCTGTTGTGCTCACAACAACTTATACTGGAGAAATAAACCATCTGGGAAGCACATACACGTCTCCAAAAGAAATCAGAGTCCTGCAGCATGAAACTGTGGACTCGCTTGGCCAGCAGGAAACACAACAACAGCCCCATCATTTGGTAAATATGGCACATAGAGAGCACTGGCTTCTCCACACTGCACTATACACACAGGGAGGAACAGGGCAGAGAGAACTACAACCCCTCCACTGAGAATAAACCTTTTTTTAATTAGGAAAAAATGGAAATGGCATCATCAGAATGCTTACTGTTTAGCTTAGGATGCATGGAAACCCAGTAAAAATCAGGTTTGCATGTACATACACACCACACTGTCAAAGGATCAGAAGGCTGCAAGTGCCCAGTTTACTGACTAAACTTTAATCTGGGTCAACATGGAAACTGAGGCAGGAGATAAGACAGCCCAAAAGAAACTGTTAGCATTTGTGCTCTGCCCTCAGAGCAAGATCCAAACCTGATGGAATGGATGCAAAGCACCTTGACATTGGTATTGCCTCTTATACAAGTACACCCTGTTTATTAATCTCTTTGAAACTACTGTAACAGAAGAGTTTCGATCTCGAGAGGAACATCTTCAAACTGCAGACTTAACCTTCCAGAGACATGGGCAATCTGCCCTCCCCTGACATCAGTGTGCTCCCAGAGTCTGTACAGCTATCACTAGAGACAGCAGATTAATTGTTAATTGCAAAGTCTTGACCCCAGAACTCTCTCTCAGCTGCTATTTAGCAGTGTCAGGCAGTAATTTGGTTGAACACAACCAGATTTTTTTCTACTAACGTAACTGAGTAACACTCATTTCAAATATAATTGAGAAGTGATATTTTTTGGCAAAGACAAAATTGTGAGCACAATAAACATCAAAAGCAAAGATTTAATATATTTGCTAGAACATTATATTGCTCAACTCCTGAATGGATTTATTTGCATGCACCTGTCCTTACAGGGAAATTGCAGTGTTTACCAGAAGATGTTACAAACTTCTCCAACACATTCCCCGCTGCATTATGATTGCCTTATAAACATATAAACAGTAGTGATGTGTCCAAGAACATCTCTTATAGACACAGGTTTACCACCATTGTGGAGAGCAGAAAAAAACCCAACCTTTAAATCACTTTTGTAAAAGTAAAGTACTGCTGTATCATGTGCCAAACTTAAGAGCTTTAGAAACAGATGTTTCATCTCCAGGGATGACACAGGTAGCATAAGGCTCCCCATACTTCTGCCAAAAAAATGGTAATATGGCTGGAATAACTGTGTAACTCCCAAGTTCTACTGAGTATGACCAGAGTTCCTACTATGGACAACCAGGGTTCATCCAGGAAGAACTGCAATGAACTCACTTCACAGCAGGAGCTGAGACCGTCTGGATGTCCTGAAGCAGATCCTAAATTCACAACTTCAGCTGAGAAAGGTCTGATACCTTCCTAGTCATTCAGACAGCTCAGCTTCTGTTGTGGCTCAGGCTTGAACCCTTTGGCCAAGAGCCTGATGTTCCCAGAACTGCAGTTCTGTGCCCTGGACAGGGGACTGAAAGACCCTCAAGGTAAGGAGTGAGCCTGGATTGGCTGTGTGAGCAAAAAGAAGGGTCTCTGCACTCATGAAAGACTTCATCGTTAATAACCAAACAACTTTCTGCAACAATGAAGAAATGCACTTGACCATTTACAGCAAAACAGATTGATACAATAAAAACAACTAACTTATGGCCTTGTCTACCTGCAAATGAACTCCTTCAGCAGGCACACACAATATATTGCTCAGTCATAAAAATATATATTATCTCTTTCCTTTAACATTTAGGTATATAAATATTTTACTGAAGAACATGCATCATTTAGATAAACAATGGCAAGAACATCCTCTGAAAAACATAGGGTTCTTTGACATTTAGCAGTATAAAACGAGTACATAAACAGCTATTAAAGTCAAGACAAACCAATACAGCAGGAAGCAGTTCTTGTGCTAGTCCAAAGCACCTTTTGCAACAGGTTATATGATACATACACACAGAGAACACATTGGAAATGGAAACAGCATCATCCCATCTGCATATTCTTCAGTCTTGTTTGCGCTCCAAACTTACTGTTCACTTTTCTGCTCTTGTTTTCCATTCAGCTCTTGGTCAACTCTGCTCAGCAAAGAAACACTAAAATTAAAACTTTGTTAACGTAGTTTGGTAGCTCATATATTAAGAAAAAATTATTAGTCTTAAAAGGAAAACAAAAAGCTTTCACATAGGAAAAGTTTTAGTAATTAAATATTAAATTAAGGTTTTTATTTAATGCAATCACATTGTTGGGATTTTTAAAAATATCTATTTTCCTACCTCCCCGTAGAAATTAATTAATTAATTAAAAGGAACTGTTAGGAAACCATTTAAATACTATAGCACTTGAATGAAAACATTTAAAAAGTGGAAGTGAAGTTTGACTACAGAAGAAAAAAGCAGGTCCTGTGCTTTTATTAAAAAATGCAAACAAGAATACAAGCTTACAGGTAATACAATAGTACTGGCAAGCACTACCACTTTGGGGAATTCTCATGCTGCAGAATAAGCACTGAATTACCTTCAGAGTTATAGTAATTAAGCCAAGGTAACAGGATTAGTTGAATCAACAAAAGCGAAGAGGCTCCTTAACTGCAATGTTTTTCTACTAAGTTTAAGACATTTGGAATTACCCAGGAAAAATTCACCACCATGCTGATAAAGGTGGTTTTTACTTGGTGTCTTACTTTTTAACATCTGTCTTGTGACTAGCAAACAAAATGCTGCTCTGCAGGAACCAGTGGATGACTGACAGCCCTGCACGAAACATTCTTTTCCTCTTTACAATAAGAATAAGCTGCAGTCTGAATTCAATTTTCTATAAAGTAAGCTGTGCATGGAGGTAAATTAATTTTAAAACCAAAAGCAGTTCCAAAGTGAGAGAGACGAAGAGTTTGCCCTCTAACAACTTGTCTAACCTGTCTCTCAAACTATTACCAGCCAGTTCTCCAAAATGACAGAAACAATGGCAGCTCCTTTAGGCCACGAACCCATAAAAAGGGGACATAAGGATCCAACAGGTCTGGAGCACTGAGGTCTGGAAGCAACAAGCCCAGCTGGAAACCTGTTCAGCAGCACAGTGCAAAGGGTGCTCTGAGACTGCAGCTCAGCCCTGACCTCCCTGCAGTGCCTCAGAAAAGCTCCCTTGCCTCTGTTATATAGTAAATAATGCTACAGCTGCTTTCAGCCTGGGTAAAGACTTGGGATCAAATTCTGCCTGTGATCTCTTCTCTACATCTATT